CCCCACCCACACCCACACCCACACCCACACCCACACTCACACCCACACCTCACACCCACACCCACACCCACACCCACACCCACACCCCACACCCACACCCACACCCCACACCCACACCCACACCCTGAAGTCAATCTCATTCAGGACTAATCACAAAGTAACAGTAATAGTGATAAGATAGATTACCAAGGGGAACCAGTCAACAAACTGAAGTGAGCTATTTTTTCTTTGAAAGCTATGACAAGTTAAAGTAATATATGCATGGTTGTTTGAAGTGCACTTATTAATCGATCATAGATCTTTGTGAACAGTTAAAATGATATTGTCGTTTGCTTGTGGGCTCTTGACTAGACATCGGCGTGACCAATGTTTTTTGGTCACGGTCACGTCACGATCACGATCAGTTTGGTCACGGTTACGGTCACGGTCACGACCATTGCCAGCGTGACCGTGACCGTGAGTCACGGTAGCCACGCCAGTCTCTATACGAACGACTATTTTCTTTTTTTTCAGAATAGTATACCCTTCTCTTCCGATAGGAGGTCCCTATATTAGAAGGCTTTCCATAATAGAAGACTCCCTTGGAGAAATACGTGCGAGACCTAGTACAAGACTTAATTCAATCATCGAATTTTTTGAAAAATGCCAACTTCCACTACTGGATTTACATCATAATATGCTTAGTTTTCAGAGTTTTTAGCCGAAAAAATTTAACTAAGTGTTTTCAACATTCTATCTAGGCTTTTTGAAATCCTAAAAATTCCGTCTCAAAGCATCAAAATCGCTTTGACTTTCTGAACAACTTTTTTAGTTGCAATCTGTAAAAAGAAAAGAAACATTTCCCAAGACCCTCTGGAAAACTTTTGGGATTAGACGCAATAGAAATCCTCGGATCTCCTCGTGCGGAGAGGCAAAAGGTAATATACCAGATAAAAGAAAAAGATTAGGTATGAAAAAAATTGATGAATTTGTTTTTGAGAAAATTTCTTAAAGTTTTTGAAAGTGTATTTGGCCAAAACTTGAATAGAAATGGGCGAAATTAGAACAAATAGAGAAATGATCAATCGTCGAATAAGTCATCAGATAGAAGTCAAAAATATATGAAAATGACAAATCTTGTTCAAGGAAGTCATAATATTTTTTAATGGTACACTTTTTTCTCCAATATTTCTGTGCGAACAGTTTAAAATATATTAATACTGAGTAAATTTTTTCTAGTATCGCGATGGTATTGATTCTATTTCTTCGTTTTAAGTTAGCATAATTAGAAAAGAATATTGATACATATTGAAAGAATACTAAATATAATATTTAATTCTACAATAAAGTTTGAAAATAACTGCTTTATAGCTACATTGAACATTTATTGTGACTGGTCGTGATCAGGTTTTGATCACAATCACGTCACGGTCACGATTTTTTTCGAAAAATGGTCACGATCGTGACTCACGGCAGTCACGGTGGTCACGTCGATGTCTAACCCACACCCAGTATGTAAAAAAACAAATGCCAAATATAAATGTTCATATAACTATGCATTCAATCCAAAGTAACACTTAATAAAACTCATATGAAAACGTCTAATATTTTTATCAATGTCTAGTTCATTTTGTAGAGTACGAAATATAATCATTCATGGATTGATTCTTATAATAGTTTGTATATGAAATAAAATCAAATGAATCATCCAGGGAAAGGGACAATGTTCAATAGCAACATTTATTTCACATATCTGCATTGAACGAGTATTAATCCTACGTATTAGATGATGATCGCAGTCCAGAATAAGTTCAATTATATCTCCTTGTGCATAGTCACTGATATATCCATCTATCTTCGTTAAACATTTTCCATTCATGTATACTTCATTGTGACCAGCTCAACCATATGCTGATGGTGAATTCTGAGAATCTAGTTGCATAGAAGTTGACTTTGAGGTAATTCCTAAAAACCACCATGGCAGTATATCAAGCTTCTCAATTTTGAATCGAATTCGGTGAATACCAATACTATATTCCTTTGTTCCACGAATTTCTCCAGAACTTCCTAATAAATTAAAGTCGTGACAAGCCAAATGACCATCTTGTTCGATATGTACAGGTCTACAAGTTCGTTCAAATCTATCTTTTTCATTGACAAAAATCTTCATAATGAAAGGATTCCCGGATTTTTGTTCATCAACAGATATATCTGGTTTTGTAATACTTAGCTTAAGTTCATTGAGTCTTGTCTTCCATTTCATTAAATGTCGTTCGTCGAAATCATGATTCTGTTTACTTTTCAGTAACTCTTGAACTATTTCTTGAGTATATGTTACATTCTGCTGACTTATGGAAAAACATAATGCTTGTACTTGTCGACGTGCTTCTTCTGCTGCTTCTTTTACCTTTTGAATTGATTCTATTTCCCATTTATTTATCTGATTCAAAAGAAGCGATTCTAGACCAGAACTAGTTTCACTTGACGTTTTCTGAAGTGTATTCGATTCATTGGTAATCTCATTGGCCTGTCGATCAAGTTCGATTCGATGTAAATTATAATCATCACTACAAAATAAAGATTGACATCCTTGACATTTTAATACACCTGTCCTTGTACTACAGCTAGAACATTCTTCTTTCATCATTGGTATTGATTAGTTCTGCCAAATAAATGTTATAATATTGTTACAAAATGAAAGTTAAAAAAAATGTTTTTTTTGTCATTTTTTTGTGCACAAAAGGATTGTGAGTGTATATGAAGACAAGACAATACTCACATCTACACCCTCAAGATAGTTCGGTCTCAATATCGAAAAGCTTACAAAGAGAGTAAAATGCATTCAGAGAGCTAGTTATCGAAAATGAGAACAGAATTCTATAAGAAAGAATTGTTGAATCAATAAGTCTGCGCATTAGGGATGCAAATTTACATTTACTTTTCGCTTAATTTACACAGAAATTAAACAGTAAATAATACCTCTACTGTGCACTATGGATACAGGTAAATATACCCAACAGATTTCTGAGTAAGAAAAAATCATAAGTCGGTTCGATAAATGGAAATCCTTAATCAATATGCATTTTATTACTGTCTCGATCCTTTGTAAGGTGCGGGAAATGCAAAACTACAGTAGAATTTTTCTTTGCTTCATTTATGTATGACTTGATAGAGCGTAAAAAGCTGATTACGAATATATATCTTGAATTTCGATTTGATCGCTATTTGGCTGAGAAAAATGCTACAAAAAGTCGAATGACTACAAATGTCGTATATGGAACTGTATCACGCTTCTTTTACAGAAACTCTTAAGTTTAAGGGACATTTATTTTGTTAAAATTTTTAAAATATCATATTCTGAATCAGCGTGAAAAACTGAACAATGATGCATTATTCGATTTGATTTAAAGCTAAAAAACAGTTGGGTGTGGGTGTGGGCCAAGGGGGAAACAGCCAACTTTTGGACTTGAAGTTACTTTGAGCTACTTCAAGTAACTTACTTTGAAGTACTTTTCAATTTCAAATTTATTTCAAGTTACTTAATCCTACTTTCGGCCACTTGGGTGGTACTTTGAACTACTTCAAGTATTCTACTTTGACGTGCTTTGGCGTACTTTTCTAATTCAAGTCCGCTAATTCCCCCTTCGTGTGGGCATCTCGGTGTGGCTGTGAGTGTGTGGGTGTGGGTGGGTGTGGATCTGTGAATGGCTTTCATGGAGGGATATTCCCACACCCATACCCACACCCACACCCACACCCACACCCACACCCACACCCACATTCACACCCACCCACACCTCAATATTGGTGAGAAAGCTATTGTTATTTTTTCATTATTAATAACAATAACATAAACTTTTTAATTCAAAACAGACAATGAAACAAATCTAAGCATAATTATTACGAACGTCAAAGGATTGTTCCAGTATCAATTATACTTTCTTACCGTTGGATATGGTAACTTCTGATAAATGTTTTGAGAAATTTTAATATCACATATTTTGTTGTTGTTCCTGTTAATGCTAAATAACAATAACAGTAACAAAAAAATATATGTTCGTATTTCTTAAACTTTTCATCACAAGTTGTTATATCGAATGGTAAGAAGAGATACTAGGATACTAGAAGAATCCTTTGACGTTCGTACAAGCTATGCTTAGATTTGTTTCGTTGACTATTTTGAATCAAAAAGTTAATTTTATTGTTATTAATACCAAAAAAAATTGAAATAACTTTCTCACTTCTACACCCTACAGTCAACACCGCACAACCGCCCACACCTCTATGCCCACCCACATCCGACACCCCACACCCCACCATGGGTATGTGTGAGCCTGGGTGAGATCTGGATGGGTATAAACGTCCGTGGGTGTCTGTTGATCCATTCTGCAATCCACACCCACAGCCGCATACAAGTTCTAATTCTCTCAAGCATTCAGTTGTTTACACTTTCAATCTTTTTGTTGCCACTCACAATACAGATCCGAAAGAAAAAATAATGCTGTTAACAATAATCAAATTGCATTAGCATGTGTATTTCTTTCGTTCGCTGTTTTAATGCACTATTTTTGTTTACCTTTCTTGTTTACAATAGATGCAATTTCAGACGAAACTCAATAAAACTATAATACAGTCAACGCCACTGCCAACTTTTTATTCACAGAATAAAGCTTTTTGCTTACTTAAAGGTATCGAAGATGCAGGGTGTGGATGTGGGTGGGATATGAATGTTCGTGGGTGTGAGTGTCTATTGATCCATTCTGAAATCCACGTACAAACTCAAACCCACCCCATTACACTCTGTATACAATGTAATGAACGATGTTCAATTAATTTTAACGCATCCTTATTTAGACATACCTTTTATTTCGGTAGAAGTAAAAAGAGAGAGACAAATAAAGAGGTCGTGATCGAGTACAAACAATTGAAAGTAGAGAAGAAAAGTGAGGTTTTGATTCTACCTAGCATTCAGTTGTTTACACTTTCAATCTTTTTGTTGCCACTCACAATACAGATCCGAAAGAAAAAATAATGTTGTTAACAATAATAAAATTGAATTAGTATGTGTATTTCTTTCGTTCGCTGTTTTAATGCATTATTTTTGTTTACGTTTCTTGTTTACAATAGAAACAATTTCAGAGGAAACTCAATAAAACTATAATGCAGTCAACGCCACTGCCAACTTTTTATTCACAGAATAAAGCTTTTTGCTGACTTAAAGGTATCGAGCATCCATTACAAGAATGGTGTTACTTTTCGTTACTTTTGAATAAAGTGCAGGTTGTCTACATGGAAACAAAGATAAATAAAAACTATATGATAAGTTTCTACTATACAACTGTTCATTGTTTAGAAAGAGTTGAAACTATGAGCATATTTTGAAAAAATGCAATCGACATTTCTAGTTATGTTTCAATATGTATGAATTTCTTTCGCAGGAATACGGAGAAAATCCTCAGCACACGAGTTTTACTAACATTTCTCTATTCCGGTATACAATATAATCATCTGTCGAATTATGAGTAGTTGAGACTGTTAACAGTTGCAAAATGAACGTGAAAATTGAATGCTTTCTGTTGATGTTCAGTTTTCTTTTCTATACGGGATTTCAGCATTCCTTGTTCCTTAAGGTTCTGTTTCCAGCAACGGGTCTAGTCTTTTTAAGTTAGACGGTTTGGCATTCTTAGGAACAGAAAATGAGAACGCGACACGTGCTCTGTTTACTTTAACGGAAAGGGTGTGGGTGTGGGTGGGTGTCGGTGTGTGGGTGTGGGTGTGGGTGGGTGTCGGTGTGTGGGTGTGGGGTGTGGGTGTAGGTGTGGGTGTGGGTGGGTGTGGCTGTACCTCAAGAAAAGATTAACATACCCACACAACCACATCCCCACCCACACCCACTCCCACATGGCCGACCCTGAGTGGGGACCTGGTGATTTTTAATTATTTAACTGTTTGTTTGATACACTTATTACATTTTATTTCAAAAAATAAACCTTTTATGCAATTTTAAACTCAAGTCTAATTTTTCACATGTCTCCTAAACTATCGGTCTGGGGCCTTTGAGAACACTTTTAATGAACACCCCAGGGTCTAATTAGTCGAATTAAGTCAATAGATGAGGGGGGGGGGGGGGGTGATAAGTGTATTTGTCCCTTTTTCTTTATTGACTAGTAATCGAGAATAAAACAATTTTTTAGGATTTATGGTAAACACTTTTCTTAGAAACAGTGAAGACAAAAGTTATTAATCAAAATAGATTTAAAAAAAGTAATTGTGCATATGCAATGCTTTGTCATTTTTATATTTACAGTATTCGTTGGAAGAAAAACGGACAAGCACATCTATCGATATTTGTTTTCAAGTAAGTGCCGTTGTTCATATCTATGTAACTCTAAGCATACTGACAATCATGATTGGTATACTTCATGATAATATTAAAATTGATAACATGCATCCGGAAAGTGATCACAGACAAAAATATATAAAGAACTTCACCAAGTTGTTACAAGCGTCGGATGTACGCTGAGCCAAATTGATCAACATGTATGTGCATTATATATCCACATAACATCAATATGTTTTATTGCCATTGACCAAACAAGCACCAGTATGAGCAATATGATTAGATTGAAGACGCGAAAAAGACTATGTTTGTAGCTATCGTAGTTAATGTTTTCTTTTTCTTTGTGAATATCTGTCACATTACATGTGTAGTATATATTAGATAGAAATGGATCAATGAACCAATTTCTGAATATTCTGCGCGGTCGTCCATGAAGAAGGTGCAGATATTCAACACTATACAATCAAAATAAAAAATGGGCTAAACTATTACAACTTGATCGGAACTAATTCAAAATTAGTGCAAGAAAGATTTAATGATTGCTATTAAATGCTCATGCTGCTAATAACAAGCATTGAGATATCATAAAATAAAGAATACCAATTATTTTCAAATCATTATGTATAGGTCGTCAGCTAGATTAGAAATTTAAACTATCCTCAAACAACATAACTTCATTAAAATAAATGCTTGTCTACTCTTTTGTAGTCGTCATTCATCCTATTAAACTTTCGTTAGAGAACCATTTGAGACTTTGGAATACTAAAGCTACAGAATCCCAAAGAATACTCATTAGTATGCCATAAAACAGGTGTTCGAAAAGTATTTTGAAAAAATTGAAATTTATGTTACTCGTGTATTCCAATGAAAAGCACACACAACTAACATATGTTAAAAATTATAAATCTAAATTGTTCATTTTATTTCTTTCCTAATAAAAAAAAACAATTTGTACAAAACTATTTTTCCATTAAAAGTTTTTTTAAATATTGTTCATTTTTATTAACAAAAAT